GGATCAGTCCAATGGCAAATAGCTGAGTTCATCTGCTGGGACTGCAGTAGGCTTCTGCCCACACCAGGAGGGCACTGGCAGCCATAAGTTGGTGCAAATCACATTGGAGAGATTAAAGTTACGTTCGGGATGAAACTGTGAGTCTCAGGAGGTACTGGAGTGGGATATGAAGGGGAAGTGAGGCAGCAAGAAGGAAGGTGAAGCCAGGTGCCAGTGGCTCATGCCTGTAATCCCAGCTACCCAGGAGGCTGAGATCTGGGGATTGAGGTTCAAAGCCAGCCCAGGCAGGAAAGTCCACAAGACTCCATCTTCAACAAACCACTCAGAAAACCGGAAGTGGCACTGTGGCTCAAGTGGTAGAGCACTTGCCTTGAGCTGAAGAGATGAGGGACAGCGCCCAGCCCAGAGTTTAAGCCCAAGCCCCATGACCAAAAAAAAAAAAAAAAAAAGAAGGAGGAAGGTGAGAAGACCTTTCAGGGCCTTTCTCTAAAAGGATTCCTACAACCTTCACTGGGATGCACTTATCATTTGATGCTGGATAGGCCTCTGTGTGTGTGTGTGTGTGTGTGTGTGTGTGCGCGCGCGCACATGTGCACACACACACACACACACACACACAGAGTCTCTAAATTAGGGGAGGGGAGATGATTGTTAGATCCATTTCTGTTTCCACTTAATTGAATGTAGACCAGTTAGACCCTTTTATGACTTCTCCAGCTACTCCTGGGAACATAGTAGGTATAACTTGGTCCCTATCTGAGGGAGAATGAAAGATTTTGAGAAACTAGGGGCCAGAGAAGAACTCAGCAGCCTATAGCCTGGAAACTAGGGTTCAGTCTTCAGGAGATTCAGTGACAGTTGAATCTCATGTTGGTCTCTGTTTCAGTTGCCTGTACTTCTTAGCTTCCACACTATACTGATTTCTCTGCTTCCTTTTTGGTCCTAAGACAAGAGGGTCCCACGCTCTGGGTGAAGGAGCAGCTGGCCTCTGGCTCTTTCTCTGTGAGTGACATCATCCCCTTGGGGTTGGTGGGAAAAGCTGTCCTGCTGGCTCTGCTTGCAGTCAAGACTAAATGGATGCTCCAATTCCCACTGCCCCTAGCCATCCCGATTTCCCAACTCAGATCCTTCTTCTATTTTTATCCTCTCACAACGTTCCCTTCAGTGCCAGCACCTTGTCCAGTCTGGGCTCACCGTGAGACCATTGGAAAGTGGACGAAAGGGTGAAGAAGCTTCTCCTTCCACTCCTCTCCTTCCCCTAAGTGCGGGGTCCCCTGGATGTGTGGCATCCTATCATTCGTGTGTATTAAGTTTCACTGAGGAAGAAATGTCCTCAAAGTACCTAGAATATCTCAACAGACAATGTTTCTGGCTACTTTTGGCTCATCGGCTCATGGTGCTTCTTTCTTGGTGCCACATAAATAGACATTAGCTCATTCAATCTGCACAATAGCTGCATGAGGCTGGAACTATGACTCCTATTTTAAAGGATGGAGAAATTGAGTCAAATGCAGTGGCTTACACCTGTAATCCCAGCATTCAGGAGGCCAAAGCAGGAAGACCTTAAGTTTGAGGACAGCTTGGGCTACATAGGAAGCTCCTGTCTCCGAGCTGGAATTTAAACTTTGTTTGTTTTGTCTCTAGAACCCAAATTCTTAACCAGTACTGAATATAATTATTAGTATGTGTACAATTTCAGCCCTTATTTACTTAAATGGAGCCTCTGTTTGGAGGTAGCTCTGAACTCATGCATACCCACACATTCATTCTCACTGGAAAACTGTACAAAATGTCAGCCTTGTATCTTATGGATTTTTCCACACTGGAAGAGACTGAATGGGGTCATTTTATTCCTCCCCCTGCCTCTGACCTGGACCATGTTTCACTTTCTGGAGGGAAGTCTGCCAGTTCAGATTCCTTGCCTCTCAGTGTGTTGAAGCCTTGGGAAATGGCTCTGACCATCCTGGTGTAGCAAGTGACCGAAGGTCGCAGCAGTGCAGATGGTCATCCAAAGGATCAATGATATTCCTGGAGGGGTGATATAGTAAGTAGAAGGTGCCAGCAAGGGTCTGGGGTAATGGAATGATGTGCAGATGATCTCAGTCTCGGCTCTCTAGTAGATGATCAGTTAACATTTCATAAGGGTTTGTGAGCACTTACACTCATGGATGACATGAGCCACATGTATACTTATCAGGACTTCAGGATGCACATCTTAAGGAACAGAGACAAGGCTCTATGAGGAGCATGGTGGGCAAGTGAGAGGGCTTGGGATTGAAGACCCTGTCATAGATCTTGCCTGCAGGACCAAGTAGTTTGGATTAGCGTCTTTAAACAATGAAGAGCCCTGTTGAGGGAAGAAGAGATAGGGTGGAGATGTGTGTTGGGGAGATTAGCCAAAGCACTCTCATGCTGATGGCCAGAAGGCCTTCTCTGAGCTTCTGTAGCTGGGAAAGGAAGGAGAGATACAAATGCCCGTAGGACAGGACTCCCACACAGTCCACAATTAAGTCAGGCAGAGCAGAGGTGATTGACCGGAGAAGTGAAAATGACTCCTCTGAGGTTCCAGGCACAGGCGCAGGAAAGAGGGCTGGAGAATGGAGAGGAACAGGGAAAATCAGAGGAAGAAGCAGTTTTCCAGGAAGGAACTGGGGCTCACAGCTGCTGCAGAGTGGCCCTGAAAGGAAGGGGTCAGAAAGACAGAAACAAAGCCTTCGGGGCAAGAACCACAGGTACAGCTACCCTAGATGGGCTCTGTGTGGCTACACCCCAGTAAAGGCCTCCTTGCCCTCAGAGGCAACCTGTCCCCTCCTGTCCTTTGGTGCTTCTGGCTCATTGAGATTCTGGCTCAGATTCCCCCGCTTCTTGCCAGAGCCAGGGTTGACAAGAGATTTGATCCAGAGGCCTGAGAGGGTCAGCTGCTAGCCCACTTTCTCCCTGGCCGTGCCTCTCTGCCCCTCCCACTCCAGTTCCCCACCCCCACCGGCTGGGCTTAGCTCTGGGCATTAAGACAAGCTTGGGAGGTAAGATGATCCTCCTGGTCTCCGAGGGGCTTAAGAAACAGATGGTCTCCGCACAGGAGGCTTGCCATGAGTAACTTGATCAGGAGCTGGGAAGAGAGCTGGCAGGACCAAGGCAGCTTGGACCCAGGGTCTGGGGAACTCTGTGAATGTTATCAGACAGAAACTCTCCTCCCCAGTCTCCAAATAAGGCCCTCACCCAAGGCAAGCTCTCAGGTCCCTCCAGATGGCACCTGAGACTTGGGCCTCAGACACCCCCCCACAAAGGAGTTGAGAGGATTGGCTCTAACACCCCCATTCTGATATGGCCAGTGCAACAGAGCCAGTTGGGCTGAGAAGGCAGGAAGAAAGGACACTGGAGCCAACTCTGAGGGCAGCTGAGAGGAGACAGGTGTTTGGGAAGAACAGACAGGCTAGGAAGAGCGGGTAAAGGCTTACAGCAAATAGGAGTTGCCAGGCCTCCTTCCTTCTCTTCCTGGTCAGATATAATAAAGAGGAATTAAAGCTTCAGGTCCACTCTTTCTCTGTAATGTCCCCTTCAACTCTTCTCCAGTGCCCTGTAGAGGGAAGCATAGACTTCAAATCCAGCACCACTGCCTAACCAGCTGCAGGCAGTGTTTGCTGGTCAGGACTACAGTATTTGGAAGGACACAGTCCTGGTTTGAGCCCCAGCTCTATGAGCTGTGTGGCCTTAGATAGGTTTACTTCACATCAACTACAACTTATTATTTGTTAAAGTGAAAATACTAATAACCTCTTAGGGTTTTTATAAAAAGTAATGACATGCTGCACATAGAATTCCTAGCATGATTCCTGTGACGTATTAAATGCACAATTTGTTATTGCTGCCAACTTCCCCCTCATCCATCAGAGAGGGAGGACACAGACACAGAAAATGACAAGAATGGTTACCACAACTTTGTGTATTCTCAAACTGATCTCAATTCTGCCTTTTATTCTCTAATCTTGGGCAACTTATATGCCTCGGATTCCTTCTCTGTCAAGTGGTGACAATAATAGTCATCACCTCATAGAGAGAGATTAAATATAGCTTAATGTGTGTATAGATAAACTATTTGTACACACACATATACACACACACACACACACACACACACACACATAAGAGCCCCTCTACTTAATGATGTTTGGACTTCACCATGCTGTAAAACATATCCATAAAGCTGAGTGCTGGTGGTTTTCACCTGTAATCCTAGCTATTCAGGAGGCTGAGATCTGAAGACCAAAGATTGAATCAAGCCTGGGCAGATAAATCTGTGAGACTCTTATTTCCAATTAGCTATCAAAAAGATGGAAGTGGAGATATGGCTCAAGTGGTGGCTCACCAGCCTTGAACAAAAATGTCAGGCAAGATTGCCTGAGGCTCTGAGTTCAAGCCGCAGTGCTAGCATCCTCCTCCCACAAAAAAATATGCCATAAAGCTATTCTGTTTTCCATATTCAGTACAATACTCAGCACATGAGATACATCCCACACTTTCTTACAAACTAGGCTTAGTGTTGGATGATTTTGCCTAACTATACAGTGTGTTCAGAGCACATTTAAATTAGACAAAGTTGTGTGGCATGGGTTTAGGAAGCTGAGCTGTGTCCCAAGTGGTAGAGTGGTCACTTTGAGCAAAAAAGACAAGTGAGAACACAAGGCCCTGAGCTCAAGTCCCAGTACCAGCACCAAAAATAAATACAGATAAATATGTTTAGCCTGGCCACCATCCCCTCATAAATGGAGGAGCATCTGCAAAACTAAGGACATACTTTGGTTCGTTTTGCTGTCATTATTTCCTTTACTGAGCCTGGATCTAAGCAGTACTGAGCTGTAAAGAAATGGGTTAGTGGTAGGTAAGGGATGACTAGGGAGTGTGTATTTGGAGGGTTGTGGGATTTAGGTCCTAGGCTGTGAGGGGCCGTCCTTCCGGCCACCCTTGTGCTCACTGGCCCTGTGCCTCCTCTGCCCCTGCAGATGTCCATGAAGGAGGTGGGTGATGGCTTGCAGGACCAGATGAACTGCATGATGGGTGCACTTCAAGAACTGAAGCTCCTGCAGGTGCAGACGGCATTGGAACAGCTGGAGATCTCTGGAGGGAGTCCTGCCCCCAGCTGCCCTGAAAGTCCACAGATACAGCCTGGGCACCCTTGCTGGGAGGGTGGCAGCCACCCTGCCAGGCCTACAGCCTGTTCCTCCTCCAGCAATCCTTCTTTTGGCAGCAGCACCAAGTTTCCATGCCATAGGAGTGACTGTGCCAATGATCATGGCCCCCTGCCCAGGACACAGCTGCCTGAGCACCAAAGCTGTGCCCAGCAGGGGTCAGAGAAAGTAGAACCTGATGACTGGACCTCCACATTGATGTCTCGGGGCAGGAATCGGCAGCCTCTGGTATTAGGGGACAATGTCTTTGCAGACCTGGTGGGCAACTGGCTAGACTTGCCAGAAGTGGAGAAAAGTGGGGAGAAGGGTGAGACTGGGGGAGCAGGTGAGGCCAAAGCAGCGAGAGGCCAGTCCCGGGAGCTGGGCCGCAAGTTTGCCCTAACAGCCAACATCTTTAGGAAGTTCTTACGTAGTGTGAGGCCTGATCGTGACCGCCTGCTCAAGGAGAAGCCAGGTTGGGTGACACCCATGGTCTCCGAGCCCCGAGCTGGACGCTCCCAGAAAGTCAAGAAGCGGAACCATTCCAAGGGTTCCGGATGGTTCCCCTTCCCAAGCACTGGGGAGCCCAGACGAGGGGACACCCCTTCAAGTAGCTCCAAGGCCATGGAACCCTCACCAGCAGGCTTTGACATTAACACAGCTGTTTGGGTCTAAATTCTGATGTTGGCTGAAGCCAAAAGGCCAGTCCCCAAACTGGGCCCCTGGGGAGGCGGGAGGGTAGGTGGTGTAGCCTTCAGAGCCCAAATCCATGTTCCTTTCTCCCAGAAAGGAGAGAGAAGCCAGAGTTCAGACAGGGCTGACCAGAACATACATGACTGGTGAGGGGAGGAGGTAAGAGCTCCTGGAGAAAGGTTGTGCGTGGACAAGGTGCACTTGTGTGTGTGTGTGTGTGTGTGTGTGTGTGTGCCAGCAAATGCCTCTGACATTCCTCTGCTGCCCTCAAAGACCTCAGTGAACACAGAATATGAACAAGGGCACTAGGATCTCAGAGAGCCTCTCTCCCTTGCCACCCCCCCCCATTTAAATGGCCAGTCTCTAGTGCCCCAATCTTATTCCTGGCAAGATCAAGATTGCAGGCCCCAGTACTGAAGCCACGCCCTCTTGGGTGGGTGGAGCAATAGGAGGAAATCCTTTCCATAGTCCTTCCAGTGGTCATGAAGATTCCAGAGCTTTCCTGGATCCTGGAAAATCGGCTGATCCAGGAGGACGGTGAAGGAAGACCGGATGCTTCTGGGTTTTCCTGAAGGTATAGGTGATGAGCAGTATTGTGCACGTCTAAAGGCCTCTTCACAGTCACATGGTCTTGTAAAGGGGCACAGTGGGCACGATCTAGTCCCCAGCCCGGACTTGCTGACTGTCCAAGAACAGACTTTGGTAGGAAGGGGACAGGCCTGACCAACTGCTGGCTAGTCAGCATTACACCTCACCCCCCAGCAGCTCTGAGGGCCCCGTATCCAAACACACCCTGTCTCCAACACTTAACTCTCCAAGGGCATTAGATCTAAACTTCGCAGGGAGGCAAGGGCTAGTGCAGAAGAAATACTCCTTCATTAAAAAGAAAGAAAGAAAAACAATCCTGAACTGGGCTCTGATGGCTCACACCTGTAATCCTAGTTTTTTGGGAGACTGAGAACTGAGGATGGAGGTTCAAAGTCAGCCAGGGCAGGAAAAGTCCATGAGACTCTTCCCTTCATTAACCACCAGAAAAGCCAGAAGTTGGAGCTGTGGCTCAAGTGGTAGAGCCCCAGCCCTGAGCAACAAAACCCAAAACCAAACCAACCCCACCTCAGGGACAGCGCCCAAGCCCTGAGTTCAAGCCCCACAGAAAAGATCCTAGCCCCATTCTGCTGCTGCTGCTTCACTCTCAGCCGGTGCACCGGCGGGGGTGGGGGAGGGTGGGGGGGTTAGGGGAGAGAGGGACGGTGCCCGGGGGCCGCGCCTTGCACGTGGCGGTTCCCGGACGCTTGCCCCCCCCCCCCCCGCCTGGCCTCGGGAGGGAACAGGGAACGCCTGCTGGCCAGGAAAGGACAATGTGGGTCCCTGTTCAGAACAAGCCCGCCCAGGAAGGCACCCTCCCGGCGCCCTCTTCCCTCTCCCCTCTCGGGAGGACAGCCGCTCAGCCTTGATGGGGTGTGACAGCTGCAATTAGAAGCAAGATGCCTTCCCGCCTCCGGGGCATTAGGAGCAAATTGGAGAAGAAAAATAACCAGACAGGCTCTTCTGCCTGCAAGCCCGGATCCCCAGGGGACAGGGAAAGAGGGGAGGGGGCTTCCAGCTCCAGTGGGGGGCAGGGATGCAGCAGCCTGGGTTAGGGGCACCCTCAAGTTCCCACGCAGTCAAGTGGTAGCTAGTGTGGGGTTTCATTCTAAGCTTGGCAAAGCATGATTAAGGCCCTTCTTTTAAACTAAGAATGATCCTAGAAGAAATTATTTTCCAGATACATCAGTGGAAGCTCTTATATGGGTTGGGGGGCGGGGTGTCAGGCAAAATGCACAGATTAGACATGTAGTGTGCACACTGTTTTCCCAGAGGAGAGACTACTGGGTGGGCAAGTCATTCAAAGAGATAGCCAGCAGTGTTTTTGGAATGATTCTATAGGAGACCAAGTCACCTCCTGATCATTCATCTCACAACTCATCTGTTTTGTGGACTGGTAGATCAACTGAACAAAACTTAGTGAACTCCTCCCAGGGCCAAGTATTGGGATAGTAAGAGCAGCAGGATGGACAAGGACCCAGCTGTTAACTGCGGGGACTGTAGGGGAAAAGAACTAAGTAGATTCTTAGTCATCACCTACCCACAAGAGTCCTGAGAAGGAAGACTCATCCTCACTTAGATCAGAATAAAACAATTAGGAAGTGAGATCTGCTGCCAACCTAATCTGCAGGTACCAGGCACCTTCAAGTTTGGGTTCTTATTTCCTTTGTACTACACCGTAGAAGTGATTGCGGTTACTCTTACTTTACATAGATCAGGTCAGAGAAGTGAAGCAGCCTGTACAAAGTCATGCAGTACTGGACTGGGACTGAAACAATTGCCACTGATTTCTAATTTTGTGCTTTTCACATTATCTGGCAAATTATATTTGCACCACAGGCACATGAAGAGCAAAACCTGTCCTGCTCACTTAACACACATCTGCATGCATAGTAAGTGAAATGCTGAGTGTTCAATGAAGGAATTTTTGCCCACATCTTTTTTACTCAAGGTTGGCATTCTACCACTTGAGCCACAGCTCCACTTTGCTCAGATCTTGAAGGGGTTTATGTAATATCTTACCAATTACACTGTGCAGATGAAAGAATATGATTCATTTCCCCTCTCATAATCTTTACTTTTCTGCCCCCTTCTGGGCTCTGGGCAAGGATGGAGGCTCTTTGTTTGGCTGATCCAGAGTGAAGATGAATGAGATTGCTAACTACCTAAGCATGCAGGGTGCAGGAAGCCATTAGGAGGGTGGGGGAGGGGAGAAAGTGGAAGTGAGCAGAGAGAAACTGACAGCTTAATTCTGCTGCTGGGGCTTATTTTATGGTTAATTAGGACATGCAAATGAGTTGGAAGCTCATTTAATACCTTCTCTGGCATGCAGGCCCACCCTACACCTGGCCCACTTCCCTGGCAGGTACTGGGGCTCCTAATTGGCCCAGGCATCTGCTCGGGGTTCCACCTGTCTCTGTGGCCCCATAGATGGATGGTCCGTACATGCTCCTAGCCCTAGTTGGACCTTTCAGAATGTCAGCTGCGCATAGTTGGTGGTGACTGCCTAGTTTCTCTTCTTCTTTCCAGTCTTTTAGATCTAGGACCTCTCTTTCCCTTCTATACCCAGTCAGCCCCTTAGGTATACTTTGAACACAAACTTGTCCTGAGGAGGGAAGCCTGGTTTAGCTGTGCCCTGCCTTTAACTTGTTCCCAAGAGCCTCAGGTGAGGGACTCCTGTCTTTCCCAAGTCTCATCGGGTCTGGATAGAAGTTGGAGCCCAGCCTCACTTTCCCACTCATGGGGTATAAGCACTGGATTTGGAGTCAAATGGTAGACTTTGCTATTGTGTAAACTTAGCCATGGTGCTTGACCTCTCTGGGTCTTGTTTTTCTCAACTATGAAGGTATACTTCAGGGTGGCTGTGAGATCAAGGACATAATGTATCCAATGGCCAAGTATACTGCCCAGAACACAAGACAGCTCACACACTTCCACACTCACCTCTGGGTGGCCCCAGGCACACAGTAAACCAACCAACCAGACAAATAAATGCTTTTACCAAGTCTTGGTCTCCTCTTCTGTGAACTATGTATATATATATATATATATATATATATATACATATATCTATATACATATATCTATATACACACATGTATGTATACACACACACTCACTCTATTTTATCTAACAGGAAGGTGACAAGAATCAGATGTGGGTTTTTAAGCACTGTAGAAATACTGCTCTGTGGGCTACTGTTTGCCAAATGACACATTCAAACATTTCCGTGGAGGGATGAGACCTATGGAGCTTGTGTGGGGAAAGGCAGTAAACTGGGCTGAGGACACTCCCACTGTCTCCCACCCCAGCTCTCTCAGGAGCAACCTCTGGGAATTCAAGTCCTGGCCAGGGGTGGAGTTAATGAGCCAAGTCCTGGTGGTTTTGAGAAGAATCCGGCTTCAGTCTGCTTTCTGCTTCTTGTCTTTGGTGTTGGGAGTCCCAGACTGGCCACATCTTTCCTTCTCTTCCTCCTCCTCCTCAGCCAGCAGAGCCAGTGATTTGTCCTCCTTTGTGAAATCTGCTTTTCGGATTGGGTCCAGAACTCAGACTGGCACTGCTTAGGGGAGGGCTGGTGGTCCAGAAAAGCCCCCAGGCCACAGCCTCACGCTACTGTCACCCCTAGGACCATGACCCAGATTGCCCCTTGAGTTCCCCTTCCTCTGCTAATATTTCAATAACCAGTATGAGGAAGCCCTCATTCTAAGTCCCCTTCAAATTTAACAGGACCTGCTTCCTGCCTCTTTCCTCCAGTTAGTCCTGACAAATCCTTCCATTTGCCACCTGAGAGCCAAGACCACCCAACCTTCATATGCACACACCTCATGGTAAAGTCAATCCTGCCCATGGCCTGCTGTAAAGTCCTCATGCTTACTCTCCTGTCCCCTACTGGAGTTCTCTTTCTCCCGTTCAGCCCTGCCAATGCTTCCCACAAGCACCTCTATACTCCTAATGAGATGGCAACCCGGAAAATAATCGAATGGGGGACACTGGCTATCACTTTATGCTTTCCTTTTCCCTGCAACTTAGTCAAGCCTGGGTAGAGGGAGCAGGGCCACTGGCTGATGGATGCTACCCCTGTCACTCTCCTCTGTCACCTCTGAGCTCTGCACCTCTACTGTCTGCTTCCCAACTGTCCCAGCCACCAGCCAGCAGATTGCTTCTATCACCCGCCAAGGCAGGTGGTTCAGGCACCCAATCAGAGGCTGCTGGTGGGTGGTAGGTGCTGGTTTGCAAGGAATCTGCCCTCATCCTAGGAAAGAATCAGGGCTTTTGCTTGCTTGATCCTTCACCCTCACCCTCCACCCCCCACCCCACCCCACTCCCCCACACCTGAAGCTGGAATCCTCTTTCCTGCCTTCCTCTGGGCTCTGTTCCTCACCTCCTCCTGACAGGAT